TCTTGTTTGCGTAGGGCCCAGGTCTCTGAGGCATATGTTAATGCAGGAAGAACAGTGGAATCCAAGAGATGTGCCCGGAGCCGGAGGTTCTTCGTCCTCTTAGCTATTTCTTCGACGTTCTTGAAGGCGTTCCAAGCCGCTCTCTTCCTCCTGCGCAGCTCGGGTGCCAGGTCATTTGTCATGTTGACCTCTCGACCTAGGTACACATAGCTGTTGCATTCGGAGATGGTCGTTCCATTGAGAGCGAATGGGGCGTCAGGAACAAGGCTGTTTCTCATAAACATTGTCTTCGTAAGATTCAGCTGTAGTCCTACCTTTCCACACTCACGGTCAAAGTCGGCCAGCATTTGTGCTGCTTGGCTGATGTTTGGTGTTATTAAAACAATGTCATCAGCAAAGCGGAGGTGGTGTAGTTGCCGACCATCTATCTTCACTCCCATTCCTTCCCATTCCAGTCGTCGCATGATGTTCTCGAGGGTGGCACTGAAGAGTTTTGGTGAAATGGTATCACCCTGCCGCACCCCTCTCTTGACATCAACGATCACTTCTTTGTAGAATGGTGAGATCCTGGTAGTGAATCCGCAATACAGCTCACGGAGGATCCTGATGTATTGGGCTTGAATGCCCTGATTGGCTAGGGCTTCAATGACCGCTTCCGTCTCAACAGAATCAAAGGCCTTCTTTAAATCAATGAACGTTAAGCAGAGCGGCATCTTGAACTCCCGAGAAACCTCAATGAGCTTGGTTATCGTGTGGATATGGTCGATGGTGCTGAATCCTTTGCGGAACCCTGCTTGCTCGCATGGTTGTCCTTCATCTAGTGTTCTGCCAATCCTATTCAGGATGACTCGAGTGAACAACTTGTAGATGACAGACAATAGGCAGATCGGGCGATAGTTGCCAATGTCATGGATGTCTCCCTTCTTGAACAGTAGTACGGTCCTGCTGGTTTTCCATTGAGATGGAACCTTGCATTCAGACAGGTAGCGAGTGAAGAGCCGAGCCAGTGTATTGATGAGTACTGACGGCAGGTTCTTCAGGTGTTCAGGTCTGACCTTGTCTGGGCCGGGTGCTGTTTGCTTCTTTACTGACGAAATGGCGTGTCGGATTTCGGAAGGGAGAACGTTGGGAACGACATACCCATCCTGTGGAATTTGGTATGTCGGCAAGTGGACATGGCTATCGAAGAGATTTGAGTAGAAGTCATGGATAATCTTCTCCATTGCCGTTCTGGAGGATGTGATGGATCCATCAGGACGTTGGAGGGCAGTCATCTTGGTCTTATAGTTGGCAAAGGACAGGCGGGCGTTACGAATACTTTTCCCGGCTTCTGCCGCATCTACCAGTACTTCTGCTCTTCTCTCTTTGAGGTCTTCCTTGATCGCATCTCTGCACTGCTTTGCGAGCTCGGACGTTAGCTTGCGGTTGCCTGAGGCATGCGCCAAACCACGCTGGCGAATTAGCTCAAGAGTTTTCGAAGATAGGCGACTTTTTGTGGCTATCTCTCTCTTGGCGTTCCTCGCACATTCATGGAGGTGCTGAACCAGTCGATCGTATTCCTCGTCAATGTTATCAACAATGGCATCTTCCCATGTTGCTGCAATAGTACCAAAGAGTTCCCAGTTGGTGGTCGTTCTGGGAGTTCTCTTTTTGAACTTTGCAGCCCTTTCTCCCCGCTCTGTGAAGTAGAATTTTGCACGAAGGAGACGGTGGTCCGATCCCGTTCGAAATTTTGGGACAACAGCGACATCAGTCAGGCAAAACCGTCGATTGAATATGATGTGGTCTATTTCGTTGTGGAATCGTCCACCGGGAGACTCCCATGTCCATCGTTTAGATTCTGCCTTCTGGAACTGTGAGTTACCATGAATGGTCTTGGTCGACATGATGAACTCAGACAGTCTCTCACCCTGTTCGTTCCATTCTAGGCCATGGGTTCCGATGTGAAGTTCTTCAGCTGATCTTCTCGGTCCTATCTTGGCATTAAAATCACCCACAATGATCTTGTAGAAGGTGTGGTCTTCTTTATAGAACTTCTCTAACTCATGGAGCTAGAACTGGGCTGACAATACTATAAAATTTTGAGGTGCCTCGTGGTTGCGAGCTCCAGGAGCTATGAACCTGGAATGATTTGGTGGCTTTGCAGCTTGATGAGGTTGAGTTATGGAGCTGGGCCATTTCTGTCTCTGACGGTGTCCCGTGTGACTGTGGACTGCTGTGCCTTCAGGAAGAAAGGGGAATTTTTGTTTTGTTTTTGGCCCACACCCAGTGATGCTCTGAGGTTACTCCTGGCTCTGCACTCAGGAATTGCTTCTGGTGGGCTCAGGGAACCATATGGGATGCTAGGAATCGAACCTAGGTCAGCTGCATGTAAGGCAAGCACTTTACCCACTGTACTATTGCTCCAGCCATAGAAAGAGGTTTTTTTTTCCTTTTTGGGTCACACCTGGTGATGCACAGGGGTTACTCCTGGCTCTGCACTCAGGAATTACTCCTGGTAGTGCTCGGGGGACCAAATGGGATGCTGGGAATCGAACCTGGGTTGGCCACGTGCAAGGTAAACACGCTACCTGCCGTGCTATTGTTCTAGCCCCCGCAGAAAGAGAAATTAAAAAAAAAACACAGTTCTGACCTGCTTCGGCAGCTCTCTTCTGACTGCAAGGGCATGTTTGGTCCATTCTGGAGACCCCTGAGCTCACCTGGGCTTATCCCCACTTGCCAATTTAAGTCTGTGGAGAGGACCCAGGTGTCATGACTTTCATTTACCTAGACTGCCAGATGCCAGAACTAAGGGGAGCCAGTAATGAAAGAGCAGACAGTATGTGCCGGACTTGAACAAATAGTGTCTCACTAAGAGCGCTGAGGTGGTATCTGGGCGTTGCAGCCAAGTTTCCCAGTGATTCTCTGGGAGCTGCCTGTTCAACGGCAGGTTGCTCCGTTTCATTGGAAGGTTTATTCACAGAGATAAGTCCCCACTGTGTGGAATATTTTGTAATACAAAGATCCTAGCTGGTCAAGAACAAGTTTGTGGGACTGGAGCGATAGCACAGCGGGTAGGGCGTTTGCCTTGCATGCGGCTGACCCGGGTTCGATTCCCAGCATCCCATATGGTCCCCTGAACAACGCCAGGAGTAACGCCTGAGCATCACCGGGTGTGACCCAAAAGAACCAAAAAAAAAAAAAAAAGAACAGCTTTGTAACTGTGTATCTCATAGTGACTCAATTAAAAAAGTAAAGATTCGGAAAAGAAAGATGGCGGCCGCACGGGAGCCTTGTGGACAGCAGGTTTGAGCCGGGGGCGGGGGGCGGCAGGGACTTCATGGGAAGGGGGGCGTTCTGGGCCGTCCTTCACGCCCGACCGAGGTCACCAGCTGCCCCCCACGAGCGGCTCTCCAGCACGGCCACGACTCCAGAGCACAGAAACCAATCTCTTAACTATCTAACCTTTTTTTTTTTTAACTATCTAACTTTTAATAGAAATTCTTCCAGGGTTAATAAGTAAAACAGCAGAAATCCAAAACCGCGCAGCCACTATCGCGGCCGCACGACATCATTTTATTCTTAAACCAAGCTGTAGAAAGCAAATCATTTCACAACACTGTTTCAGCATATTTGATTGGGGGGGGTCGTAAACTCTAAACAATAATTGTGCATCTTCTATCGAAGCAATGTATCTAGTCAAAGTAGATAGTATTAACTAGAACTCATCTGCCTCACAGGAATTGGGAGGGGTGGGAGGTGGGGTTCTATTGGGGTTCACGGTTAAAAATAAGTATTGGTAAAGGGAAATGTGTTTGATACTTACATGACTGAGACCTAAACCCGAAAACTCTGTAACTTTTCCCACAGTGATTCAATAAAGAAATAAACTATAAAAAAAAAAAGTAAAGATTCAAAAGAAAAAGATCCTAGCTGGGACATGTGAACAAATTCAGACTCCCACACCACCAGTCCTATTCCTGTCCCCAAGTCTGTCTTTATATTTGTCCCTATAACTCACACCTAACACCGTGAGTCTGGGGTGGTTGTGGCTTTAATTGTGGCATTGATGGAACCAAAGCTTGACCATGTTCAAGAATGTGTAAATTCCTGTGGCTGCTGAGTGTAGACCTAAGTCCAGGTGTGTGTGCATATGTGTGTGTGTGTGTGTGTGTGTGTGTGTGTGTGTGTTTCCAAAGCAGACATAGCTGGACAAAATAAATAGTTTATATCTATTGCCATAGTGGGAAGCAGCAAATGTGCTGTTACAGCAGTGATTGGTTTCCCCATCAATAATGGGGTTACAGATTCCTATTTTGTTTGGGGACCACACCTGGTAATACCCAGGTCTCACTCCTGTCTCTGTGCTCAGGGATCACTCCTGGTGGGCTCAGGGGACCACATGGGTGCCAGGTGCCAGGGTTCAAACCCAGGGCGGCCACACATGCAAGACAAACACTCTACCCACTGAAATATTGCTACAGCCCTGAAGATTTTTTTTTTCAATTTTGAGTCACACCTAGCGACGCTCAGGTGTTACTCCTGGCTCTGCACTCTGGAATTACTCCTGGCGGTTCTTGGGGGACCATATGGGGTTCCGGGGATTGAACCCGGGTCGGTCGCACGCAAGGCAAACACCCTACCCACTGTACTATTGCTCCTGCCCCAGAAGATTCTTAAACTTATTGTAAGGATTAGCGAGATCACGTGTGTCCAACACAGGAGTGGGACAGAGTTCTTCAACAAAACCCTATACTTTAAAATTAGAAAGTTCCCAGCTCATAACAATTACTCTGAAAATGCCAGTTTCGTTTTTGCTGTGTACTCCACCCGCATACCACATCTGGGTTCTCCTGAGTTGGACAGAATGAGAATGACACGGAAAAAAATATCGGGAGAATGTTTTCCGCCTTGAGGGTGGACCTGACAGAGAAGGGAGGCTGGCATTTTGCACTCTGAGGTTGAGGTGTGAGCTTGTGCATCAGTCTTTTGCTACTGCTGACGTCTCCTTTCCTTCGCAGGGACTGGAATGCGTCGTCGAGAACAGTAAGTCATTTTCCTTTGGTCTTCTTTGCTTGGTTTATAAAGTGCAGGCCCTTTGTTTCATATTGTTTGTGACAACACAAAGGCAAATGGAATGATTAAATTTAGATTAATAAGTCAAAAAAAATTCAATGGGATTTCTTTTCTTGGCTTCTTAAGTTTATCCGCACTGAAAGAACTAAAATACAAAAGCTATAACTTTTAAGTATTCAAGTGTCAGGAAAATGCTTCAAATAGTTTATTTGGGGCCTTGGAAATCATAATTTTAGCTTTTAAATGATATTATTACATAATTATCATGGTGATAACTTAAATGTATTACTATTAAATGTATTACTATTGAAGTGCGATCATCATAAATAAATAAATAAAGTGCAGGGCTTGTGTTGGTGCCCCAGAAAGTTGCCACTCTACTTGTTGCTCAGCGGGAGGGGTATAGCAGGAAGGAGCTTGGGTACTGGCTGTGTGTGCCTGCAAGCCCTAGCAAGACTCCTCTTTGTTCCCAGTCAGGACGTGAGGGCAGCTGCCGCTGGGATACTGGGTGCTTGCCTGGTCTGTCTGTGACACTGGCTTACTCGCCAGAGTTATCACTGTAATGTGAGAGAAAGCAGCATGGAGCTGATTTTCTTTCTTTTGCTTTGGGTTTTGAGCCACACCCAGCGGTGCTCAGGGCTCACGCTTATCGCTAAGCTCAAGGGTCACACTCCGTGGGGCTCAGGGGACCATATGGGCTGCTTGGCAATCAAACCCAGTTGGCTGGGTTTGCAAGGCAAGCACACTACCTGCTGAACCACCTCTCCAGACCCTGTTTTCTATCATAAATCAAGAGAAAGTGCACATTTCCTGTTTCCTTACCTTTCGACACCCCTGAAATAAATAAAGCAACTATTTTTTATTAGTGAAACACTAATGGGCTGGAGCGATAGCACAGCGGGTAGGGCGTTCGCCTTACAAGCGGCCAACATGGCCGACCCGAGTTCGATTCCTCCGCCCCTCTCGGAGAGCCCGGCAAGCTACCGAGAGTATTGGATATGCCAGACACAGTAACAACAAAGTCTCCAATGGAGACGTTACTGGGCCCGCTCGAGCAAATCGAAGATCAACGGGAGGGCCTTTATCTTTATCTTTATCCTTTAGTGAAACACCATGCGGTACAGTTGTAGACTTACAAATTTTTGTGCTTGGGTTTCAGTTATACAATGATCAAGTACCCATCCCTCCACCAGTGCCCATCCTCCACCACCACAGGTCCCAAGCATCCCTTCCACCCCCATCCCCCCCACCCCGCCCTGCCTCTGTGGCAGGGCATTCCCTTTTGTTCTCTCTCTCCTTTTGGGTGTTGTGGTTTAATAAAGCAACTTTTAATCACTTCCTTGCTCGAGCGGGCCCAGTAACGTCTCCATTGGAGACTTTGTTGTTACTGTGTCTGGCATATCGAATACGTCACGGGGAGCTTGCCAGGCTCTGCCGTGCGGGTGAGATACTCTCGGTAGCTTGCCGGGCTCTGCCCCTGCTATGCTACCCCATTTCTTTTGGCTGGGGGTGGGGTGAGGAGGGAGGGTCACACCCACCATGCTCAGGGCTTACTCCTGGCTCTGTGCTCGGGAATTATTCCTAGTGGCGCTTGGGATGCTGGGGTTTACTCCTGGTCAGCCATGTGCTCCCATTTCTAACCCCTGCTTCATGTCAAAGCCATGTGTGTTCATTGTCTTCACTCCTGAAATGCATCCTAGACCTCAGAGCTTTGCAGGGGCCAGAGAAGCACTGGGACAGAGTGGACAGGCAGTCACAAGCCTCTGACGCCTGGCCCAGCACCTGCGTCAGCAGGAAAGCTTGTTGCTTTGTTTATGTGATTCCAGGGGCTCCATCCACAACACTACAAAAGAAATAAATACCTAAAAATCAAATCAAATCTCTCCCTAAGCCCACAGCTGCCCCCTTCGCTGGCGTGTCTCTGTTCTTATAGTTCTCTGAGTCTATTGTCGGACAAGTATTCTCTGCTCCTTTTCCTGGGGACCAGGTACCTGCCTTGATGACAGCTGGATCCGCCTCGAAAACCTGACTCCCTCGCCCCCCAAGAACATCCAGGTCCACCTGCACTTGGCCCAGACCCAGCATGGAGAGCTGCTCCCCGTGCTTCACATCGAGTGGATGCTGAAGGGAGACTGTGAGTGGGATTGGAGACCAGGTAGCCGCCCCACTGTAAGAGGGCCACCCAGGGGCCGTGCGCGCTCAGGACTGGCAGCTTTATCCTTGCTCAGACAGGAGGCCCAGATCCTGGGGCGAAAGGCTCCCTCACATCCTGCACTGCCGACTTTCACAGTAATCCTCACACCTCTCATCCCTTCATCCTTGATGGGAAGACTACCTACAGCCTAAACTTTTTTTTTCCCTTCCTCCTACCAGGCTGGGAAAGAGTCAAGTTGAGTGGTTCGTTCTTTGTCTGCAGTACCAAATATTTAAAGGGAAATACTTACACATTTGCCAGCCTGCTTTTTCCCTTAACTTAGGAACTGACATTGGGATGAGTGCTCCAAAACAGTGCTCAGGGTACCCAGATGTCTCTAGTATTTGGCACTTCTAGCTAGAATCCAAGGATATGTTGCTGTTCAGGCTCTGCGTGACAAGGATCCCCCAGTGCCATCCCATCAGTGCTTGGGGGCCTCCAGGACTATCTGGTGATGCTCAGGGTCTTGCCGTGCTGGGGATTGAACTGCAGTTGGGTTCATGATTGCGTGCACCCCTAACCCCTCTGCCATCTTCCTGGTACCCAGAGGCTGCCACTTCCTTTCGACTTGTTGTTTCTAGTTTTTTTTTTCTGGGGAGGGGGTGCACACCTGGCAGTGTTCAGAGGGTACTCCTGGATGGACATTCAGGAATTATTCCTGGTAGAGCTTGGGGGACTGTATAGGATGCCAGAGAATGAACCCGGGTTGGCTGCATCCAAGGTGCTGTATATTTCCAGCCCAACCACATCTAGCCAAATCATCCAACCAAATCCCTACCCCTTGGGGATTTGTATTACAGAATTGGGAAGCCTGGGATTCACAGAGCCAGCCCCAGGTTGACCTTACCTTGTGAGACCCTGCTTCTCCTGCCTGTAGCAGTCCTAAGACACTCACCAGTGTGTCCAGTGTCTTCACTATGAGTCTGTAATCTGGTACAAATCTGAAATGGGTTAGGCAGCTGAACGTCATTTGCAAGGAGGCTCACCCAGGCTCATGAGCAAATGTGAACAGGAAATGAAGGGTTGGGTCAGTGCACAGCTTTTTCTGAAAGTGAGCAAGCCCAGAGGCCTGCGAGTGGTGCGGCAGCTGCTTGTTGAGATCCGTATCTGCCCCCTTTAGCCAGCTTCCAGGTCCTGAAGGGCGCAGAGTTGTCTCTCCTGCAGCTGAACACCAATGAGCGTTTGTGTGTCAAGTTCAAGTTTCTGTCCAGACTGGAGCATCCTGCGGTAAGTGGGGAAGAAGCAGCTCCAAATGGATTGTGTTTCGCTGAGAATTCCTGGGTTCCCTGACACAGGACGATGCTGATGAGGCCAGGTGTAGGTTGTTTTTTTTTGTTTCATTTGTACTCCTGCCTCTGTACTAGGCGGTCACCCCAGGTGGTGGTGGGGATTGAATTTGGGGCTCCCAAGAGCAGAGCTTAGCTCCAGCCCACAGAGCTGGACCCACAGCCCCTTAGTTTTCAATAGGCAAACACGAGGAGAAAAAGCAAAGATCCTGGTGCTGCTAGATTGGGATTTTGTTCTTAAGGCTGGAGGGGGGTGTTGGGGCCGCACCCTGCAGTAGGTGGTCGCTCCCTGTGGTGCTTGGGGGACCCTGAAGTGCTGAAGACTGAGCCAGGGTCACTCGCGTGCAGAGCAAGAGCCTTAGCCCCGTCCTGGGTCTCCAGGCCCTGTTCTTGTTTTGGACTGATCTCTCAGGGGCTGAGGGAGGTGGGGTTTTTGGTACGGACAGGCCAGAGGTGTTCTGTGTGTCAACTGGCCAACCTTCCTTCCTCCTTTATTTTCAGTGGCGCTTTAACTTCAGTCACTTTGTGGTAGAACCTGGCCAGAAGTATGAGGTGACTGTTAACCACCTGCCCAAATCCAGCTCTGACGGGGACCCGAACCACGAGTCCAAGAGCTTCCTTGTGCCTGGTAAGCGCGTGCTCCAAGTGCGTCCCTCCCCGGGGCGATGTCAACCACCGTGTTGGATACCAGCCTGCCTGCTGCGCTGGACAGAGGCTGCCACATCAGAGCTTGTCCAGGTTCCACAGCTCTCAGGGCCTGGGGCTCAGCAACCTCTCTAGGGACACACAGTAGGTGCTGGCCCATGACCCCAGGGTTCTTGCAGGAACCAAATTCCTTCCCTCCTCCTAGAAAAGCTCTTGTCCCGCCCCAGAAGGATCTAAAGGACAAATCATTCTTACACTTGAGATGTCGCTCCTTGGGGTGCTGGCCTTGCAGGCAGCTGACCTCGGTTCAGTCCCACACAGACAGCTTTGCTGCCTTCTCCCCCGGCCCCCTCCTCTCTCCTCTCTCATCTCAACTCCTGCATGGTTCCTCAATCCCATGACTTCTTCCCTCTAACTTCTTCCCCCTACCTCAAGCTGCCTTTGAGTCCTGCCTTTGAGGTTATCTTCTGAAACATGTTTTGTGTGTGTGTGTGTGTGTGTACCTTCTATGTCCCTGTCCTCTTCAGGCTCAACCACAAATTGCCTTACTCATTATTAAAATATTTTTCTGGGGCTGGAGCAATAGCACAGTGGGTAGGGCATTTGCCTTGCACACGGCCGACCCAGGTTCAATTCCCAGCATCCCATATAGTCCCCCAAGCACCGCCAGGGGTAATTCCTGAGTGCATGAACCAGGAGTAACTCCTATGCATCGCTGGGTGTGACCCAAAAAAAATAAAGTAAATAAAATAAAATCATTTTCTATTTGGAGGGAAGGCCACACCAGGTAGTCCTTTGTCCATATTCAGTCCCTTTGTTGTGGGGGTTCCTTTTTCCTGCTCACCAGAGCAATTTTCCTCTTGAACCCCAGGTCCCTGGAGGGCAGTGGGGTCATAGACCTATTTCACTCTCCGGAACATTCCACATGGCCTGTTTAGGGAGAAGATCAGGTTATTAAGGGCAGTGATGGCCTCTTCATCCCGGAAGCATCCACCTATGGACACACACAGAACATCTGATTATATCGCTTTTTCTTGTCATATTCCTCATCATACCCTGAAATTAGAGTGACAGAGTTTGTGGCAATAAGCTGTTTGGTTCTGCCCATCTTTTCTCCTGGGATGTGCTTTGCAGCGGGCAGGGGCTTTAGTTAGCATGCGTCTCCAGTGTCAGAGCAGTGGGACTGGAGCGATAGCACAGCTGGTAGGGCGTTTGCCTTGCACGCAGCTGACCCGACTTTGATTCCCAGCATCCCATATGGTCCCCCAGCACCGCCAGGAGTAACTCCTGAGTGCAGAGCCAGGAGTAACTCCTGTGCATCGCTGGGTGTGACCCAAAAAGCAAAAAAAAAAAAAAAGAAAAAAAGAAAAAAATCAATGCCAGAGCAGTGCTGGAGTATTGGCACATACCGATACTTGGTGAATATTGCTGAGTGAGTGAATCTCCCCCATTTTCTCTGCTCCTAGAGTAGTGTGACCTGGCCCCTGTCCCTCTAAAGTTCATGCCTGTCACATGTCTTCTTGAACCAGAGTTAAAATGTTATGGCGAGGGGCCCTGGGGATTGGGAGTGGATGATACTAGCCCAAACCAGCGTGTGGAATTAGCTCAGAACTTGCTAGCGATGCAGATGAGTCTCTGCCTGGGGAAGTCATGTGGGGAGCCTACGAAAACTGGGGGAAATGCCTGGGAGGGAGGGAGGGAGGGAGGGTGTGTCCCTTAGTGAGGAGTCAGCACGCAGGGAGAGGAAGTTGGTGGTGGGAGGTGATGGGACTAGAGTAGACTGAGACTCCTTTTCAGTGCAGGAAACTTTTGTTGTTGTTGTTAATTGAAAATTTTTTGGCCATACCCAGCGGTTCTCAGTGGTTACTCCTGGGTCTTCATTCAGGAATAATTCCTGGTGGTGCTCAGGGGGACCATATGGGATGCTGGGGATCGAACTTGGCTTGGCCGAATGCAAGGCAGTCGCCCTCTCCGCTGTGCTATCGCTCCGGCCCCAGTACAGGAGACTGTGAACCCTGAGAGGAGGGCTAGACTGCAGAATGCCTCTGGCCAGAAGCCAGGTTCTGTCTGGGGCTAGTTTTGAAGGGGCCATCAGTCGCCAGGCTGCCCAGAAATAAAGATGAGAGGCATCTGGACCAGCCACGCTCTAAGGCAGAGGCGTAGCAGCTCCACTCCTTCCCGTCCTGCAGGCTGCAGGGACCCCAGCATGAAGACCTCCACGCCCTGCGTGACCGCGGGTAAGTGCTGGGGCCTTGGCAGGGCTGGCCTCTGTGTGCTGTGCGTGCGCTCCCTCACTGGCGGCCCGGCCTCTGCCCTACAGGCAGCCTGTGGGACCCCAACCTCACCGCGGAGCTGCTGGAGCCCCGCCAGCTGCGGGTGGGCTTCACCGTGTGGAACGAGTCTGCCCACTACCACGTCCTGCTTCACAGCTTTCCGAGCTCGGAGAACCGCAGCTGCCTCACGCACACCCTGGATGTCCCTGCGGTAATCCGGCTCCCTCCATGGCCCTCTCCAGCGGCTGGTCACCACCCCATGGCCCAGAGGGCCAGCACTCTGGTCATTTCCACCCTGCTCTTAGCTCGGCCTTTTGATTGGAGCTTGATAACAGTTGATCTAGAGCAGTAATTAGCGTTAAAACTGTTGACCGGAGCGATAGCACAGCAGGAAGAGCATTTGCCTTGCACATGGCAATCCAGGTTCGATTCCCGGCATCCTATATGGTCCCCGGAGCACCGCCAGGAGTAATTCCTGAGTGCAGAGCCAGGAGTAACCCCTGAGCATCACCAGGCATGACCCAAAAAGAAAAAAAAAAAATAAAAAGCACTGGGTTTTGAGTTGATTCTGTAGTTGATAGAAATTAGTTGATCTGTTCCTACCACCCTAGTCTCTCCAGTTTCCCACTTCCTTTCCTCTTCTCTTTTTGTTTTCCTCTTTTCCTCACATTCCCAAAAGGAGGCGAGGAATTTCTCAGTGCAAAGATTAGAAGAAGGAGAAATAAAATCCAGGAGGTGCCCTGAGGGCAGGTGGGTCCGTGGCTCCCCAGCCTGCTGGGTCCTTGCAGGGTCACTACAGACCCTCGTGGCTGTTTCTTTTCTCCTGAAACTGAGACCACAGGTGTCTCTGCCCCCCACCTTGCTAAGCAGAGCCGCGGGTGGCAGCAGGAGTGTCCGTGGGTCCCTCCACCTTCCCGCTTCCTCCCCTTCCAGCCCCCAGAGGAGGATTTCCACCAGCAGATCAACGTCATGCTCAGCTTGCCCGATAGCTGGTGCTGCCGCCACCACGTGCAGGTGGGTAACCCGGGTGCAGACTTCTTAGCCCTCCGCTCAGAACCCCTTTTGGTCTGAGAAATGCAGTGCAGGTGAGTGCTGACAGAAACACCTCAGAGTCAGCACAGAGTTGATTTTGAGTTAATTTTTCTTGGGCTGCCTGTGCTACACTTGAGATGCCAGAGTCGCCCATCCGGCGTCAGTAGCCTCTGCTAGCAGAGAGCCCTCAGGGTGCTTCCTGCGTGCCCGGCCTCTCACAGTGCCCCTGGCCTGCCCCTTCTCTCCTCTGCAGCTCCAGCCCTTCTTCAGCAGCTGTCTGAACGACTGCCTCCGATACTCGGTGACTCTGCCCTGCCCTGCCCTCCCAGACACAGCAGGTGAGGAGCTCGTGACTGAGCTGCGCCTGGGCTGGTCCAGAGGGTAGGAGCACTCTTTTAGGGGGAGTGCCTCAGGCCTGGGGGGAAAGGGTGCGAAGGCTGGAAGGGGCCTGCCTTACATGACTGCATCACCTGGAGAATTGCACCTGTGTTCAGGACGGAAGCGGTGGGGGTTGGGGCGAGGTGATTCCCAGTGTTGCAAATCCACTCCATGGACTGTGTGTGGTGCTCGGGTGTGCTGTCCGTCATGAAACTCCTGAACTGGTAGCCATCGGACTGTGCAGGGCAGATGCCCGCCCCACACTCAGGAAACTGAGGCACAAAGCTCCAGGCACACACCCCGAATGCAGAGAACCCCAGGTTCCCATTCCCACTCACACCCCCGGATCCTCTCAGTCCGAACTCATCTGCAGTCTCCAACCCTGTGCAATCGCTGACCTGGATGAGAACTCAGCCTCCTGGGGCTTTGTCGGGCTTGTCGCCCAGTGGGCTCTTCTCTGCCGAGGGTGTCACTGGGTCTGAGTGCCTGCTTCCACTCTGGGGGGTAGGACCTCAGTGGGTGACGGGGTGCTTTAGTGATGACTTACTAATCAAGACCATCGTTTCTCCTTTGTTCCCCTTGCAGAACCAGCTGCAGGTAAGCCAGCTCCCCTTCTCAGTGCGACACCCCTCAGTGACAGTGCCAGGGCTGCATGCCACATTGATGGCAGAGCAGGGTAGAACCAGGGGTGGAGGGAGTCCTTCAGCACAGCACGGTGCGGAGCTGGGGGCCCCAGGGCAGGTATTGCTCACCTCTCCTCTCCTGGCGCATGCCCACTCTGTTCTGTTCTGCAGAGTCACTGCCCCTCTGGACGTACGGGCTCATCACTGGCATCGCCCTTCTGCTGGTGGCCTCGGTCATTCTGTTGACCGTCTGCCTGGCATGGAAGTTGGCTGGTAAGCGGCTGCCCCTCAGACCATCCCCTGCTCCTCTCTTCTTCCTTCTTCCTTTGGTCTCTGGAAACATGTCAGGCCGCATCTCAAATCTCAGCTTAGGGACAGACATTACTGATCTCTGACCACACCTCAGGGCCCAGTTTGATTAGGCCAGTCCACGTGCTGGCTCCACCACTCCCTGCCTGGGCAGGTAGCCTGACCCTAGTCAGGTTTCTCTGTGGTAAAGTGAAAACCACAGGAGTGAGGATTGGGTGGAACGGTGCATATGAGAACTTAGCAGAGAACTTGGCCTGGTGTTTGCTCAGTCTATGGTTGCTATTGGGCTGGAGCGATAGCACAGTGGTAGGGTGTTTGCCTTGCACGCAGCCAGCCCAGCCGAGCCGGGTTAGATTCCTCCGCCCCTCTCGGAGAGCCCGGCAAGCTACTGAGAGTATCTCGCCTACACGGCAAAGCCTGGCAAGCTCCCCGTGACGTATTGGATATGCCAAACACAGTAACAACAATGGAGATGTTACTGGGCCTGCTTGAGCAAATCGACAAACAACGGGAGGACAGTGTTTGTGTTTATGGTTGCTACTAAATTGGGACTATTAAAGTCGCCAAATTGGAGTTAGGCTGAGGGTCCCCACATGTGAATGGTCAGCAGGCTAGTGGGACCCCCTGAGCACCCCCTTTGTGCAGCCTCCCACATAGGAGGTCAAGGAGAGGAGCAAGGGACAGGATGCTGGTGGACCAGGGAGGCAGGGGAGGCTCGGGGAGGACGCAGGGGACTGGCTCTGGCTCCCTGGTCCACTGTGTAGGCAAGTTGCTTAACAACCAGGTTTGGTTTTCTTTTCTTTCTTTATTCTTTTTTTTTTAATTGAATCACCTGAGATAGAGTTACAAAGCTTTCATGTTTGAGTTTCAGTCATGATCTCAATGATCGAATACCCATCCCTCCACCAGTGCCCATTTTCCACCACAGTGTCCTCAGTATCTCCCCTTCCCTTCTCAACCCTACCTCTATGGCAGACAGTTTCCCTCTTACTGTCTCTCTACTTATGGGTATTGTGGTTTTCATAATGATTGGTCCTTTATCTACTTTGAGCACACATCTCCCATCCCGAGCGATCCCTCCAGCCATCATTTTCTTAGTGATCCCTTCTCTATCCCAGCTGCCTTCTCCCTCAGCTCATGAGGCAGGCTTCCAACTATGGAGCAGTATTTCTGGCCCTTGTGTCTACTGTCCTTGGGTGTCTCGTATTATGTTATTTTATATTCCACAAATGAGTGCAGTCATTCTGTCTGTCCCCCTCTTTTTGACTCATTTCACTTAGCATGACATGATCATCTACTTAGAAGCAAATTTTATGAGTTCATCTTTCCTAACAGCTGCATAGTATTCCATTGTGTAGATGTACCAGAGTTTCTTTAACCAGTCGTCTGTTCTCGGGCACCTGGGGTTGTTTCCAGATTCTGGCTACTGTAAACTGTTGCAGTGAACATACAGGTGCAGATGTCATTTCTACTGTGCTTTTTTGCAACCCAGGTTGGGTTTTCTTTTCAGAAAAGTGGATAACAGTCCCTTGTTCAAGGGCTGTGGTGAGATGCAGTGTTGGCAGGTGCTTCCAGGGAGGGCAGTGGGACGTGCATGTGGCAGAGCAGTTCCTGGGGCTGGAACAATAGTACATCGGGGGGGCATTTGCCTTGGTGACCTGGTTTGTCCTCTGGCATCTCCTGTGGTCCCGTGAGCACTGCCAGGAGTAATTTCTGAGTGCAGAGCCAGAACTAACCTCTAAGCATCCCAAGATGTGACCCCAAAACAAACAAAAAAAGAGCATCATCCTCTTTGTTGGCAGCCTTCAGCCAAGTTCTAAGCAGGAGAGAATCCGATTAAGGGGCTCAGTCCTCCTCTGCCACTACACAACCCCTCTTTTTCCTCAGTAATCAGGGAGGCTATCCAGTGCCCAAGGGACTTGTCAGAGTCGATTCTACTGTAACTGCAGTGAGAACAGGAGACCTGCAGAGATGACCCTTCCCCAGAGAATTACGGGGGCATCAAAGCAGAGACGGTCTCTGGGCCAGGGCAATGGCTCAAAGGGTTTGAGCACGTGCAGGAGCCCAGGCTCTACCCCTGACGTCACCTGGGTCCCCTCAGCACTGCAGGGATGAACAAAGTAAAAGGGAAGGTCTCATGTGCTTCTTCACAGACTGAGACACCTCAAGGCCCACACAGTGGACAGAGCACAACGGGAAGATAACTCGCCCTCCGCCCATAACTCTCTCAACAGTTACCAGGGTCCCAAAGACTAGGGCTTGAAATCAAGATTCTGACTGTTTTCGCTCACACCTCTGTCACCAGAGGGGTGAGTGGGGAAACGCCTGTTGTGGTGTGCTCCTTCACCACAAGTCTCCAGTCTTTTCTCTTCTCTCTGATTTTGGGGGTCTTGGGCGTCTTCTGGCCTCCGCACTCCCAGAAGCAGTGTCAGAGGGCCCCATGGGCTGCTCCTCAGAGAGGCCATGAGAGCTCACCCCCTTAGTGCTCTGCTCCAAGTCTGGTAGGACCATAGTGAGGGGGGAAAGAGGACTCCTGGCCACAGCTCTAAGGGTCCCTTTCAATTCAGTGCTGCAGAATCCTTGCCTCCAGCTGATGGATGTGTCAGGGGTCCTGCACCAAGAATCACAAACCCAGGAGAAGCTGAGTTGACAAGGTGGTAGAGGCTTTACTGAACCCCGCAGTGCAGACCCAGGGTCCCAGCCGGGCACCTTCAAGGACAGCCCCGCCTTCACAGAAGGCCTCGAAGCATCTGACAACCGTGCCTGGACAGCCCTCCATGTCGTTTGCCCTTCGCCAGAGCTGGGGCAGAATTCCCTTCAGACACTCCTGGCTCCCCTTTCTCTTGTAGGAGACCCACCTTAAAGCGTTCTTTTTCTTCCAGGGTCGCACCACGGAAAGCCAGGTGACGCCAACATGTCCACAGGTCAGTGTTTCTAGGGTCTGCACACATCCAAAGGCGTGGCGGGCAGTTCTCTAGAGATACATTGGGGGCTCACCTGCCAGGCTTTGGTCCCTTCTGGAGACCTCACAGTGAGAGGCCCAGTACCCCACAGAGAATTACGGGGTAACATGGCTTAGGGACAGAACTCGGATGAGTTTTCTAAATCATCTGAATAGGAAAGGAAGGTAAGGATCTTACATTCTGAGGAACAAAATCCTTCCTATAAGGGCTGGAGAGAGTATGCAGTGGGCAATGGTTTCACAAGGCCCCAGCAGGGACCCTGAGCGCAGGAGTAAGCCCTGCCTCAGCACAGCTGGGGGCCCCTCAAACAGTCCTTCCTTTGGTAAGATACTCCCATTCCTAGGCAGGATTGGTGTCTGTAGCACTGTCCTCCCATTGTTCATCGATTTGCTCGAGTGGGCACCAGTAACATCCCACAACAAATTGTGAGACTTGTTGTTACTGGTATTGGCATATTGAATACGACATGGGTAGCTTGCCAGGCTTTGCCGTGTGGGCAAGATACTCTCAGTAGCTTGCCAGGCTCTCCGAGAGGGGTGGAGGAATCAAACCTGGGTCGGCCAGGTCGGCCTCATGCAAGGCAAATGCCCTACCCGCTGTGCTATTGCTCCAGCCCAGGATTGGTGTCATTTTAAAGATATTTAAAGTACAGGCTAAAGGAATTGGGAGTGAGGGAAGATTCTTTTCCCGGAAGGCACTAGACTGGGTTGTTTTCAGGCAACAAAACAAATGAAGAGCAGCCCTTGGTTTATTCCAAGGCCTTGGTCATAATTTTCAGGGGTGAGAACCAGGTTCTGCGGGGTGCAGGCCCATCTGGGCTGGACAGCGGGTAGGGGTGCTGCCCGTGACCCTCACGGTCCTGTGAGCGTGACTCCTTCCCTTTTCCTCTCAGATGTTCAGCCCCCTGCTGCCTTGACCCCACCACCCCTGAAGCCGAAGAAGGTCTGGATTGTCTACTCAGCCGACCACCCCCTCTATGTGGATGTGGTCCTGAAGTTCGCGCAGTTCCTGCTCACTGTCTGCGGCACCGAAGTGGCTCTCGATCTGCTGCAGGAGCAGGTCATCTCCGAGGTGGGGGTCATGACCTGGGTGGGCCGCCAGAAGCAGGAGATGGTGGAGAGCGGCTCCAAGATCATTGTCCTGTGTTCCCGGGGAACCCGGGCCAAGTGGCAGGCCATGCTGGGCTGGGAAGAGCCCTCTGTCCAGCTTCGCTGTGACCACTGCAAGCCTGCTGGGGACCTGTTCACAGCTGCCATGAACATGATTCTCCCAGACTTCAAGAAGCCAGCCTGCTTTGGAACCTACATCGTCTGCTACTTCAACTCCATCAGCAGTGAGAGTGACATCCCAGATCTCTTCAACATCACCTCCAGGTACCCACTCATGGACAAGCTGGAGGAGGTCTACTTCCGGGTGCAGGACATGGAGATGTTCGGGCCTGGGCAGATGCGCTGTGTCGGGGAGCTCACAGGGCAGAACTACCTGCAGAGCACCAGTGGCCTGCAACTGAAGGAGGCCGTGGAGAGGTTCCGGGATTGGCAGATCCAGTACCCTGACTGGTTTGAGCAGGAGAATCTTGGCTCCACTGATAACCAGGAACTCCCGTCCCTGGATGAAGAAGCATTTGATGAGCCCCTGCTGCCCTCAGGGGGCGGCATCATCCGTCAGCGGCCACTGGTGCGAGAGCCTGCCTCCCCGGGCTGTCTGGCTGTGGATCTGCTCCTTGGGGAGGAAGGAAGGGGGATGACAAGGCTGGAAGCTCAGGTGCAGCCCCAGAGGCCTCTGGCAACCCCCCTTCAAACACAAGTGTTTCCGTTGGAAACGGTCCCTCCAGCTCAAGCCATAGTGCCTGTCCCACACTGCATGGTTCAGAGTAGAGTGACCAGCCACGTGACCTTGGTGGAGCCAGGTGAGGCCTGCCCTCTGCTGGAAGCCCGTGGCCCTCAGCGGAACTGCATCCTCTTCCTCCCGCAGCAAGCAGAGGACCCGCCTCTCGGCAGCAGCCCCACAGCACCACCCAGCCTCCCCCTGGATGATGCCGGGGTCCTAGCTGGGAGCTTGCCTTTCTCCTTCTTCCAACAGCACCTGAGCTGCCAAGCCCAGGCACTGTGTGTGAGCCCGACGGCGGGCCTCACACGCCCCCAGGTCCCCTCTGAGGAGGAGCAGTCGGACCAGGGCTATATCTCCAGGAGCTGTCCACAGCCCCCCGAAGGGTTTATGGAAGAGGGAGAAGGAAAGCCAACCGAGATGCTGTCCCCCGAGGACCTGGAGCGCCTCAGGAGTCTCCAGCATCAGCTCTTCTTCCAAGAGCTTCAGAGGAACTCTGGCTTGGCCAGTGTGGGGCCAGAGACTGCGGCCTCATGAGGGCCCATGGCTGTGTCGGTGTGGCTGGGCATGCCCTGGTCATGGTGACTGTCCCCCTTTCAGTGGAGACGTGTGATTCTGCTCTTTGGCTGTCACCTAATTTTTCTTCTTCGACCATCTGTCATCCTCCATGCCCACAAGATTCCACAGCCCATTTCCCAGAAGATAACAGCAGGGCTTCTGAATTGCCACCATTTGATTTCATTCTTTTATTCAGCATCTGTTTGTACCTACTGCATGCCAGACATTTGTGCTACAAAGATAAATTGCACCTGTCCTGGCCTTAGCCACCAAGGAGCTGGACATGCGTATGTACTACAGATTAGCCAACAGGATGGTTGTACGCAGGTGGGAAGGCTCAGAGGGTTATTCAATACAAAGAAGGGTACAAAGAAGGGGCACCTGGTCCAGGGAGACTCCCGGAGATGATGAGCCAAAGATGTGAATTTCCTAGGCCACGAGGCTGGTTGGAGAAGACGCATCTGTGGAAGGGAGCAGCGTGTGGGACGAATGCTGGAAGGCGAGTCCCACCAGCAGACTTTGGGCAGAGCCCAAGCTGGGGCAGGCCTGGGGGCCGGGCGAGGAGTTGGCACTTTAATCCGAAGAGTCTGGCAGACAGGAGGCTAAGAGCAGCCATACTCCTTCAGTCCTTTGGAAGAGAGGATAGAAATGTGCGGTGTGAGACCCACGACTGCCCATTCACAGAGCTGCTGCACAGGCCTTCAGCTCTTCCTTGAGCGGGACCGGAGGTTTCTGTCCACCGGGGTGTCCTGCAGAGTGTAAAAGCACTGCCCCCTGGAGGCCACTCCCCAGGGCCCCTATTTGGGCCTCTCCTATAGCACTGAACTTCAGCACAGCAGAATTCTGAAGCCTGGTGAATGGGAAATCAGGCATCATCATCAGAGGGTGTGTGTGTGTGTGTGTGTGTGTGTGTGTGTGTGTGAGTGAGAGAGAAAGAGAGATCATCATCAGTGGTGTGTGTGTGTGTGTGTGTGTGTGTGTGAGAGAGAGAGAGAGAAAGAGAGATCATCATCAGTGGTGTGTGTGTGTGTGTGTGTGTGTGTGTGTGTGTGTGTGCGCGCGCGTGCGTGTGCACGTGTAGGCAGACTGCAGAGAGAGTTTTAATAAAACAATGAGCCAGTATGCTCACTGGTAAAGAAATCCGCCTCATGATTTTTCTAGTTTCTCTCCTAGTGAGAGTTTGCCGAGGAGCGCAGGCCACTGAGCTGAGTTCTGGGCAGTGGGGTGGCCTGCATACACAGCTCAGCAGCAGCAAAGCATCAGGCGAGGGATTGGCCTCTGCCCCTTCCTAATGTTTATGATGAACCCTGATCCTCCGTGTGATGACATTCGAAGTGGCACCCTGGAGGGGGATTATTTCATGAAATGAGAGCTTCCCTTTCCTGCCATGCACAGACTCCAGCAGAGGCTGCTGGGAGTAAGGAAACAGTCTCTTTGCAGATACCCAAGTGCCAGTTCTTGACCAAGCCTCCAGCCTCCAAGCTGTGGGTGCTGTATAAACCACCCAGTCTGTGTATCTGATCTGCAGTCCAAATGGACCAGCCAGAGAGAAGAGGACAGAGCTCAGCGAGCCATCGCCTCTGCATCTCTGCATCTCTGCAGTGCCCACTGAGCCTTTGTGGTGAGCATGCCCTGCATGGGCAGTGTCCCAGGGCACAGAATGAGCCAGCCGGTGGGGATCTGATGCCCAGCAGCACACTTTCTATTTTGAATTTATTCCCCAAAGCTTCACCTTGAGATTCACTGGCCTATGAGGCCATGCCCATAGATATGTCAGTTGGCATTACCCACTGTTACCACTGTACCTCCAGCATGGCTGTTTTTAAGCCTAGCGACTTTATTGAGATAGAATTTATCACTTGATCACTTGACTTTCCATTAATCGTTGATTTGCTCGAGCGGGTGCCAGTAATGTCTCCATTTGTCCCTGTTGTGTGCTAGTGTAGCCCAATGGCGTCTGTTCGTTCTAGGAACATGAAGAGCCTCAAACCAATCGTTCATGAATTTATATATCATAAAGTTCCCAAATGACCCTGTATAATTCAGTGGCCTAAAGCAATTCAGAGCTCCACAGCTATTAGGATCACCAGTTTCAGAGCGATCGCCTTCCCTGTAGCCCTGGTTCCTTACGGATCTCTTGGCTCACCAGACATACCGGAAATGCTCTCAACCTGAGAGGAAGGTCAAGAACTTTGAGACATGGATAGAACTGTTCCTTTCTTTGTGTTTTACTCTGAACCACAGCTAGTCAAATCCTCTCATGCAGAAGAAGCCCTTCAGGAATATCAAACCCTGGAGCAGTGACCTTCTTGCCCCTCCTAATAGAGTGCAGCAGAGGTAACTCATATACATCAGGGGGACCCCCATAAAAGCATGAGATAAAACCTGTGCCAGAGCAGTGGTGTGTCCCAGTGAGCCCAGGAGCCTGCCAGCTGCTGTCACTGCTTCCGTAACTCCCTACCTGCTTGGTCCCAGTCTTGATCCCAGTCTGGAAAAGGAGTGATTCAATGGTGATCCAGCCGTTGCTAAATATAGTGCTGCTTGCAACTTGGATTCTTTTTTTGGGGGGTGGAGTCTCTGCAGAGGTGGTGGGGGCCCCCAAAGCTATACCCAGTGGTGCTTGGGAAGCCAGGCATGTGCTCACTATATCACTGTCATCCCGTTGTTCATCGATTTACTTGAGCGGGCACCAATACCGTCTTCATTTACCCCAGCCCTGAGATTTTAGCAGCTTCTCCGTACTCATCTTTCCCAATGCTACTGTGTTGGAGCCTCTTTCAGGGTCAGGGGAATGAAACCTGTTATTGTTACTATTTTTGGCATATCGAATACACCTCGGGTAGCTTCCCAGGCTCTGTGCCTTAACTCACCAGGCTATTTCCTTGGCTCTGAAATTTTGACTTGAAACTAGTTTCTCTTCTTAGGAGGCCTTCAGATTTAGTTGGAGCTTTTAGTTTGGGGTTATTTTGTTTAATTTTGGACCACCTGGCAGTGCTCTGGAGGCTTTATGATGCTAGAGGACCATGTGATGCTGGGAATTGAATTCAGGATTTCCAGATACAACACCTGTGTCAGCCCTGTGGCACTGATACAAGAGTTTAGGTTAGAATGTGGTCACTTTGTCACTTAAACACGCAGCAATGGGAGCTGGGGCTCTGAGTGCCATGGAATAATGGGTTTTATATATTTTGGAATGGAGTAATAACACAGCGATAGGGCATTTGCCTTGCGTGCAGCCAGCCCAGCCGATTCCTCCGACCCGCTCGGAGAGCCCAGCAAGCTACCGAGAATATCTCGCCCGCACGGCAAAGCCTGGCAAGCTACCCGTGACGTATTCAATATGCCAAACACAGTAACAACGAGTCTCAAAATGGAGATGTTACTGGGCTTGCTCGAGCAAATCAATGAACAATGGGAGGACAGTGACAGTGACAGTGTTTGGAATATTAAATAGGGCAAGTGAGAAAAGAGCTATGTTGAGTATAGTAAGCTTTTCATTCTTTGGCCTTCAGGGCTACAGTTGAATTTCTCCCCAAATAAATGAGGGGAGTTCCAGACATTCCCTGAGAAGACTTGCCAGTGAAGGGCATAAAACACAGTTTGCTCCAAAACGAAAGGGCCTGAGTGCATTAGCTCCCAGGAAATGCTGCTGGAGGGAAGTGCTTTAAACCAGCTAGAGCTTGGGGTATAGGTGCTCTGCATGAGGGATGCCCAGGTTTGATCCCCGGAACTGCATGTTCCTTAGAGTATGACCAGGAGTGATCTCAAACTGCCAGGAGCACCCCTGAATACTGCCACGTACGGTCAAATATCAAAAACCAAAAGCTGCTGCTTGTCAACTGATAACTGAGACCAATTTACCTACTCAGGCTTGGACTGTGTGACTTTGGGTGCGCAGAAGATGCTTCCCTGACTGTGGGGAGCAGATGAGGCCAACATGAAGCCATGACTGAGAAGTGGTCTGAACCTGGAAGCCACCCCCGACCCAGGAGTGCCCCTGCCCCCCCCACCCCCACACACACAGCTCTTTTTGGAAGGAGATCCACACCAAGTGGTGCTCAGGGCTGCCTCCTGGCTCTGTCCTCAGGGATCACTCCTGATGGTGCTTGGGGGACCATATGGCATGCCAGGGATTGAACCCAGGTCAGATGTGTGTAAGGGGGGCTGGAGTGATAGCACAGCAGGTAGGGTGTTTGCCTTGCACACAACCAACCTGAGTTCGAGTCCCGGCATCTGATATGGTCCCCTAAGCACCACTAGGAATAATACCTGAGTGCAGAGCCAGGAGTAACCCCCCCCCAACACACACCACTGGCATCACACCCATGCACACACATACCACACCACACTGCTCTTACAGGAAATTCTGGGGCTTCTTAAGTGTATGCCTGTGTTTCCCACTCCTAAATCATTTCTAGGTCCACCTCCTGGTTTTGATCTTTTCACTGTTCTCTATTCCTCTTCCCTAGGACTCACATAGAAAAGGATAGCTAGGGGCTGGAGCAATAGCACAGCGGGTAGAGCATTTGCCTTGCACGCCGCCAACCCAGGTTCGATTCCCAGCATACCATATGGTCCCCTGAGCACCGCCAGGGGTGGTTCCTGAGCGCAGAGCCAGGAGGAACCCCTGTGCATTGCTGGGTGTGACCCAAAAAGAAAAAAAAAAGGAAAGAAAAGGATAACTAGCCCAAGCTTTTCAGGAAGAATTATAACATCTTTAACATGAAGCTGAACCAAGTAACAGCTGACTGGGTTGGTGCAGACTTTGGAGACAGACAGTCCTGGGTTCTAATGTGAGCACCCCCCACCCCCTCCATGGTAACATGGCATTCAGGAAGCTTCTCCTTCCTCAGGGCTGTAAGGGGTGGCTGGCCTGGAGAAAAGAACTAAGGTGTAATCAGGGCAGGGGACGGCCAGCAGGAAGGTTTAGGTACCAGAAGTGCAGGCTCACACACCCCCTCAGGCTGAGCCCCCAAAAAGCCAGCATTCCTACACCCCATATTCACCTTGGACAAAGCTACGCTCCAGCAAACCTTAATTGGTGAGAGTAAAGTTTAACTTTGAAAAATGTATAAATATTTATAATATGCTTAGTCAAATTAATCACCTAATTTTACATCAAGATTTAGGAGCAATGAATACATGGTCTTAATTATTCCATGATCATGTCACATATAAAATTTCCCCCTGATTAGCTGTCTTGAGGGCAAGGACCATTTTTTGCATATATCATCTCATTGAATTCCTGCCGCAGCCTTGTGAATAGGCAGTCTTGCTCCTGTTTTGTGAGAGAGATGAAAACATCCTGAGAGGTCTGGTGAGTCCCCAAGGCCCCAGCTGGGGAGGCAGACAGAGTAAGGCCAGGACCGGCGTCTCCCCGACCTCTGATTTTTCCTCTCTTCACTACAAGGTCAGGCTGCTGAGTGCCCTTTGGTATAGGAGGGAGATTGCAGATCAGTTGAATATCGGAGAACTAGTGTGAGTCTAACTGTGCAGACCTAAAATTCTTAGATTCACTTATGGCTTGTTTTGGTTTTGAAGACATTCTTCTCATTCAAATATGTGAAATCACACTCTTCTGACTGGGAAGGAGGAACAAGGGAAATCGGAATAGTTTAGATGAGTTTTTCTAGCCTGGAAGGGGCTCAACAGGCTGTGTTCACGCCTCGCATGTCGAAGGCCCAGGCTTGAACCCCAGCACCACAGGCTGCCCCAAGCATCACTGAGGTGACTACTGAGAATCGCCAGGTATGCCCAGGCCCTGCCCCCACCCCAAACGAATCTCTTAGTCCTTGGTAAGTTATTCTTAGAAAGAAATGAGAATCCCAGTTTGAGTGGGTGTCTGATACTTTGCAGTGAACCTGGCTGGACCACCCCGCCAGCTCAAGACCAAAACCATGCTGCCTCCCTGGACCAGTGTGTCCACCGCGAAGAAGAAAGTTGCCAAGGTGTGCCTGTAATGTTAACTAACACATTCCCATTACAGATGAAGACCTGTAAAAGAAGACAAATGTCACAGTGACATTTCAGAATTTAGCAAGGAAATCAGGACAGGAAAGATCTTAAACCACACAGGAAGCTTGTCACAAGTCTCAAGTTCTTTATTTTCAGAACAGAATCTGGCTTTATTTTTTTTTAAAAAAAAGTGTGTGGGGGAAGAGTGATAGATGCTATGAGGTGCCGCTTGCCTTATGCCAGCCTCTCGCTGCCAGCTGGCTCTCCGGAAAGGCATGGACTCAGCCACAGGCAGGGGGCTCAGAGAAGGCTGAGCGCGACCCTTTCTAAAAACAATAAGAGGGGCCAGAGTGATGAAACAGTGGGTAAGGCGCTTGCCTTGCACACAGCCTACCTGGGTATGATCCCTGGAATCCCAGATGGTCCCCGAGCCTGCCAAGAGTAACTGCTGAATGCAGAGTCAGGAGTAACCTCTGAGCACCACGGCTGTGGCCCCCAAACCAAAAATAAATGAATAAAAACAGGTAGGCAGGAGTTCAAGTCGAGGTCAGGCCTCTCTCGCCCAGCCGTCAGAAGCACGCAATCTGAACTCAGAACCCCGGGTCCTGTGAGGTGGACTGCTGCCACGTGCCTTAAAGCAAACACCCCATCTGACCATCACGTTGGCAGGGACACCTAGTTTGACCCCACTCTTCTGATTCTCCTAGGTGTCATTTCTTGTAACTGGGCAAAATAGAAGGACTCAAGAAAAATACGCCAGAAAGGAGTACTAAGTGCTTGCACCAGAGACTTGATAGGGGGTGTTGGGTTGAGGGGACAGCAGACAGGCCCACAGGCCTGGGCTCTGCCCAAGGTGGCCAAGATGTCATCAGTGTGCCAGGAAGTACAGTTCACTGGACCCTATCCCAGCCTTCTACCTCCTAACACTCAAGTTTTTACAGCCACGTAGCAGATCAGCATCCCCAGAGGAGAACGAGGGTGGAAAAGACACAGAGTCCTTTCATACTCACTGAGATTAGGTAGCAGAGATACAGCAAAGCTGGAGAGAGAATGTGGGGAAAGAACAAGGAATGAGAGGGCTCAGCCATGCACACCCCTCTCCCAGGTCTGGGCCCCAGAATTTTGAGGACATGACACAGTAACAACAAGTCTCATGATAGAGACGTTACTGGGCCTGCTCGAGCAAATCGATGAACAACGGGAGGACTGTGATCCGTGAAATTCAAAAGGAGAGAAGTTAGTAGGGAGAATAAAAGGCAGAAAAAGACGAATTCATAGCAGAATCCAGCCCTCTAAGATTGGACCAGATAGGGTGGCGGGTTGGGGACACAGAGCACATTGATTGTAAACATTTCCCCATTGTTTTCCACTTAGAGGAGGCTCTGAAGCTGGGGCAGGCCACCAGCTCCTCTGAGCCTCTGCTGTACTGTCAACAAATGCCATAAAAGAGAGACCCCAGGAGATACACCAAGGTCTCAACGGTAAAAGTGACATGGTCACTCCAAGGCAGTGAGTGACAGTCAAACTATATTCCCTTGTCCCCTGTGCAGTGTTTCTAGCAATACATCTAACCTTTCAAGTGTGGAAAGAGAGGAGAGCAAACAAAAGTCCCTACAAACACCCACCCTATTGAGGGGTAGAGAAAAGGGATTATTTCCTGGCCTTGCTCCTAACCATCCTGCACCTAAGAGCACCTCAGAGATCCCAAGAGTGACGTCCCACATCAAGACCAGAAGTGGGCAACGCATTAGTGTCCCTTGTCTTCTCTACAAGAGAGCCACCAGGGAAGGGGTGGAGGGTACCCAATTTCAGACAGCTCATTTCTCTCCTAGATTCTCTTATCTGCAGAGGAGGAAACCTTGCTCCACCCCAGAGGATGATCTGTGAGCTGAGGTTCCTACTCCCAGAGGTTCGACTTCACATTAATCCAAGAACCCCAGCAAAGACAAAATTGAGACACAGTCAATAACAAATCTCAGGAAGGAAAGAGTCGTGGGAAGCAGAGGTAGGGACGGGGGTGGGGGGGCAGGCTGATGGCTGATATGTCCACAGACCCTGTATAAACACTGGCACCAAACCCCAGCTAGGTTCAGTGACCGTGTTAGATCAACTTCTGAGTAGTTTGTCTTTATTTTTGCAAGCAGCTTCAGTGCCAGATGCAATGAAGGTTGAAAGCACGGAGGTAGAAATGCTCACTCACCCAAGAAAGGGTGCAGTTTGGTCCTTAGGATATGGACCTTCTCCCTCCAAGCTGAGAAGAGAGGAGCAGAAGAGAGGAGGATTCCAGGCAAGCATCTCCCTTGGAGGAGAGCAAGTGGGCAGCTTCCAAGAACCCAGCTTTCTGGAAATTTATGGCCACAGACTCAGGTAGGAATGAGGATGGTGGTGGTCTGTGTGGCACAGAGGGCTCAGCCTCCTGGCTCTCCTACTGATTACAAGGGGCCACAGAGCGGACACAAGAAATCAGAGCTACCCACATACACATACATACACATGTAGACTTTGCTCATCTGGGAGAAGTTCAATAGACACATCAGGGGAAACAGTGGATTCTAGGTTCACTTCCAGGCTTGGGACAAGGCCATTAGCCACCTCCTAAAAGTCGGTACTTGCCAAGGCCCAGTCCTCCTGTCTGAGTAGGGCCTGTCCTCCACTCTCCTGCAACAGACTAGAATCCCGATAGAGCTAGGAAATCCAAGAAGCAGAAGAATCTAGCCCCGTAGAGGCCAGGATTAGGGAGCTGTAGAGAGTGGGGTGTAAGCGAACCTTCCTCCCTCATCATCCCTTTCTACTCTTGCCCCTGGCCGTCTGCAGGACGAGGTGGGAAAGATGCCTGGCGCCACGCCGTTGGCTGTCACCTCTTCCACACGGAACTTGGGCAAACCTGCCGGGAGCAGGAGCGGCGCAATCCCGTCCCCAAACGGAGTCCAGCTCCCTCCTCGACTCAATTCTGGGGGGCCACCACCAGGGTGTTGACATAGCCGTGGGTCCCGCCCTCATTCTCCGAGATGCAGTGGCCCAGCTGGGAGCCTCCCTGAGGCGGCGGAGGAGGGGGTGGGGGGGCAGAGGGCGGAGCCCCATAGCCCCCTCGGGCCCGACCAGGGGAGGTCCGACTCCCCGGGTCCCAACAGCCCTCCAGCGCCTCCAGGCCCCGGCACCCAAGGAAGAAGAGGTTCTTGAGCATGAAAACGGAGAGGGGCTGCTGGTAGCTCACCACCAGGAGGCCGCGCAGCGCCAGCAGGGGCACGTCCACCAGGCAGCCACCCAGCAGGCGCAGAAGGCGGCTGCAGCTGCCGGGTCCCGGAGCCGGGCGCCAGGGCGAGGTTGCCAGGGAGGCGTTGAGCTCGTAGAGCCAGAGCACCGGCGAGGCCAGCGTGAGGAAGTAGACGGCGATGAGCAGGTAGCGCAGGTGTGCGGGGAGCGGCACGCGGCCTTCGAGCATCAGCTCCACCAGGGTGAAGCTGTCGAGCAGGTCCAGGCACGTGCCCAGGAAGCAGCCGGCGGCGCGGTGCCGCTGCGGCTGCAGGAGCAGGGGTCCCGCCGTGCCACCGGGGGCCCCCGCCTCGCTGATGGCGCGCACCAGGCTGTAGAGCAGCGGCACCGACAGCGCCATGGTCAGGCGGAAGCCCGTCGTGCCGAAGGGCGCCCGCAGCTCGATGAGGTCCAGGATGGACGTGCCCAGGATCAGCACCACCTTGGGCGTGAAGGCGATGGAGTAGATGAGCCAGGCCAGGTAGGCGAAGGCGAACTCCCCCGCCGCGGCGCCGGACCCCACGCCGCCCCCCGCGCCGCCGGCGCCCCCGCGGCCGCCGCGCGCCTTGGCCGCGGCCCCCGAGGAGGCGGCGGGCAGGTGCAGAGGGGCCGCGGCGTGGTGGTGGTGCTGGTGGTGGTTGTGCGCGCCGCTCGCCGCGCCGCCCCGACGGCCCCGGCTGTTCTTGGCGAAGAAGATCGCCCAGCCCACCACCACCACCAGGTCGGTGGCGATCCAGGAGCACCAGTACAGGTCGGTGACGGCGATGAGATAGAGGTCCAGCAGGCCGCCCTGCGCCAGCAGCAGCACCACGGACAGCGCCTGGTAACCCCAGCGGCAGCCGGGGCTGGGGGCGCAGCCGCGGCGCCGACCCCGGCGACCCGGCCGGGCCGGCCGGGCGCAGCAGCAGCAGCAGCACGAGCAGCCGGAGGCGCCGCCGCCCGCCCCGCCGCCGCCCGCCGCCGCCGCCGCCGCCGCCGCGCGCCCCCCGGGACCCCCGACGGCCCCCGCGCCCCCGCCGAAGTCCGCGGCCGTCATGCTGCAGGAGGAGGTGGGCGTGGAGGAGGACGACGAGGCGGACGAGGAGGCGACCCCCGAGGAGGAGAGCGCGGCGGGCGCCGGGTCGGCGGCGGGGGCGCCCCCCAGGCCCCGGGGCGCCGAGAGCCCCGCGGCGGCGGCGGCGGCGGCGGCGGCGGCGGCGGGCACCAGCGGCTTGCTGATGCTCACGCTCTCGTCGTCGTCCTCCCGCTCGGCGCCGGTGCTGCTGCCGGGAGAGCCGCCCCCGCCTCCCGCGCGGCTGGTGCTGGTGGTGCTGCTGTCGCCCGAGCCCCGGCGGCCGCGGGGGGAGCCCCTCCGGAGGAACAGGGGCTGCAGCCGCGCGGCGGCGGCGGGGGGCGGCGGGAAGGAGGCGGCCGAGGACGAGACCGCGCGGGGGTGGCCGAACGCCGGGTGCATTGTCCTCCGAGGGGCTCCCCCTCCCCGCCGCGGGGGTCGCACCCGCGTCCGGCGCCGGCGAGATCCGGACCGGCGCCGCCGGACAGGGGCGAGGGCTGGCGGGGAGCTGGGGGGCGGCGCGGAGCCCCCGTGACGGCGGCGGCGGCGGGCGCGGCGGCGGCGGCGGCGGCGGGGGGCGGGGGGCGGGGAGCGCGCCCGGCGGGGGCGGATGGAGAGGCTGGCGGCGGCGAAACCAGGACTGGATTGAAGTGGGAGAGGAGGAGGAGGAGGAGGAGGAGGAGGAGGAGGAGGAGGAGGAGGAAGAGGAGGAGAGGCCCGAGCCGCGGGAAGCCTGGCGCGCTGGATCCCCAGCGCGGGCGCAGGGACCGAGGCAGGAGGAGAAAGGAAAGAGCGGTGGGAAAAGGGAGGGGCGCGGCGGAGCAGTTGCGGGTGATGCGGGGTCGGCGTCGGTGCGGCGGGCAGAGCGTCCCTAGAGAAGATGCTCGAGGTCCCTCGCTCTCCGTGACTCCTGCGCCGGCCGCTGGCGTGCCCCGCTACGGTCCGATGCCTGCCCTGGCCACGGGGCCATCCTGGTCTCCTGGAGGAGGAGGCCGGCCTCGCTGAGAAGTCGGGGAGCAGCAGCTCGGGGTCCGTGTACTGTACTGGGGTCAGTCAATGAGGGCAGTTTTCTAAGCGCAGGTGCTTGCAAAAGAGAACGAAGGGAAGAGAATTCGGGGGCCGAGTCCCGGGTTCTGAACTAGGAGGAAGCCGCTTCTAGCACTGCCGAAAATCAAAGAACAGTTTCATGCTCTTTGTTAAAAACAAAGGCTGATGAAGGTGACAGGATTTGGGACCACCCACCAAAATGTGCAAAAGAAAACGGTGGCCAACGTCCAGGAGCCCGGGGCTCATCCTGGCGGACTTGGTCATGACCTGGCTGGGCATTTTGCAGCAAATCAGGAAGTTAGCAGGAGTTTAGGCAAGAAGGAAACCACCCTGAGGCTTGTGTCTAATGCAAATCTCCCAGCACATCCTGGCAGGCAAACCTGCCCTTTTTGTTCCACGCACCTCAGGACCCTTCGGGCTGTGCTGCTGCTGGGGTCGGGGAACTGGAGGGGATAGAGGATGCTCACGCCTTGCCTTTTTTCTTGGTAGTGGGAGATGGGAAGGAGGGAACAGATGAAAAGGGCAATGGTGAAGAGAACGGCTCTTTAGTGGCCTATGTGGTGCAGTAACATACGGCAAAAGCATGAACGTTGATACTATTATTATAAGTTATGTTACTTCAAAAGGGGGGGGGATCCCGGAGATAGTATGGTGGGTAAGACACTTGCACAAGTTGACCCAGGTTGGATCCCTGGCATCCCATATGGTCCCCAAAGCACCACCAGGAGTGATCCCTGAGCAAAGAGCCAGGAGTAACCCCTGAACATTGCCAGGTGTGTCCCTAAAACCAGACCAAAACAGGATGGAGAGCACATATGCTTGCCTTCCATGTGTCCTACCCGATTTGATCTCCAGTGTTGCATATGGCCCCTCCCCGTAGTCCACCAGAAGTAAGCCCAGAGCACAGCGGGGTGTGGCCTAAAAATCAAACAAACAAGACTTTTTTCTTTCTGTATTTAGAACTTAACATGCATGTTTCAGACCAGATCCTTTTCAGAGCATGGGTTTCCTCTTGCTGAAAATTAGCTTGTCCTTAAAGGGTTGCATACTATGATGGGTTTATTTGTGACCCCTAAAATTTTATTTAATGGTGCCTGAAACCCCTGTCACTGTCCTCCCGTTGTTCATCGACTTGCTCGAGCAGGCCCAGTAACATCTCCATTGGAGACTTTGTTGTTACTGTGTCTAGCATATCAAATACGTCACAGGGAGCTTGCCAGGCTCTGCCGTGCGGGTGAGATACTCTCGGTAGCTTGCCGGGCTCTCCGAGAGGGGCGGAGGAATCGAATTCGGGTCGGCCATGTTGGCTGTGTGCAAGGCAAACGCCCTACGGCTGTGCTATCGCTCCAGGCTGAAACCCCAATACTGCATAATGTTACCTTTTATGGAAACAGTCATTGCAAGTATAATTGGTTAGGATGTTTCATATGGAGTAAAATCATCCAGTATGGCTGATGAACTTAAACAAAAGGAAATTTTGTGTAAAAATATTATGCATGGGCGGAAAGATGTGGTGTGTTGTGTGTTCACGGGCTCTCTCTCTCACTGCCCAAGTTCGGTGCTCTTGAGCTGCTGTGTATGGACTGGATTTGGGTTGGTTGTTGGCTGATATTTGCCTTCTGTGGCGAAGGAAGGAACGAGGGCCAGGCTGGTCCATATCAATTGCAGTTTATTCCAGTCTCCCCTCCGTTCTACTCTGATTCCCCTTCTGCTTCTCTCTCTGGTGTCCCCTCTCCTGCTTCTTGCTCCGATGACTCCCTGACTCTCTCTTTCTGCCTCAACTCTGACCCCTGATTCTCACTCTCCTTCCGCTCTTACAGTCTTAGTTTATATAGCAATCACATAGGGTGGTGATACAAAGGTGGGTTGAACATTAACAGATCAATGAAGAGGGATAAGACCACTCCTCCAGAAGATTAACTCAAGGATAAAATCTCATCTAAGGAGATTACTCCAGATTACTAGGAGATCCGCTTAAGGGCGGGATCCCATCCAGGGTGTGTCCTGGGTGTGCCACTTTCTTCTTTCCTCAGCAAGTAATCCACTTGAAGAGTTGTAGCAAATCTACTTCTAATATTTCTAGCAATGCCATTCTGTATGAGCACAGTAAGAGATATATCAAACTTAAAGTTTGGTTCTTCTTGAGGACATCTCATTATATAGTCCAGACCAGTCCTCAGGCCAGATTAGTCTTCCTAACCCCAGCAGGGTCCTAATCTCATCATTATTTCTGGATCATGACAACATTTTTCCATGATCATGCTCTCAACTTATAAATTGAGTATTGTGGCGCTTTGGCCTGGCCCATTTCGATGCCAGGGTAGCTCACAGCTTGTCCTGGATCCATTCAGTCCCACGTTGGGACCCTGCTTTTGGGGTGCTAGGAACTAAGGCAACTGAGTTGGGAAAGCAGATGCCCAGAAGTAAATATTATTCGGAGTCAATCAACTCCCAAGTTACAAAGCATAATATTAACTGTCTTCCTGTGTCCATACAGAGAGGACATTGCTTTAAAGTAAACTAAGTTCCCTGCAGCAAGGCTGAAAGAAAAAACCCAATGTTATCCTACAATTTTGGACATAGCAACAGGCCATGTACAGAGGGAAGATGACAAGAAGAGTCAGGAAGAGAGACCTGGAAGATCTCCTCTCATATCTGTTTTGAGCTTCAGGTTCCAGTACTGTGAGAACATATTTCTGTCCTTTAAGTCACCAGGCTTCTTGTGTTTTTATGGTAACCCTTGCAAACCAGTACAGACACTATGGCAGATTTCAGTCCACTCACTAACATGGAAATGGTCTATGAAATATGAAGCATTAAACTTAAGATAGGGATGGGATTGAGGGCTACGCATTCCTGCCCTTAAGGGCTTTATTGGCTTTATTATCACAGTGTAATGGTCACAGGCACAAAGAACATCTCTCTCTCTCTCTCTCTCTCTCTCTCTCTCTCTCTCTCTCTCTCTCCCTCCCTCCCCTATCTCTCATTTGTTTTGTTTTGTTTTGGGGTCACAGCTGGCAATGCTCAGGTTACCCAGGACTTAATGCTGATGGGTTTGGGTAACTATATGTGTTAACTGGGAATCAAACCCAGATTGGGGGTGTGCAAGGCAAATTCCCTACATGCTGCATTATCTCTCTGGGACCTCTCTTTATTATCTTAATAGAACTAGAATAGAAGGCAAATATCACCAAGCCACTTGTAAAGAACAAATAAATGGAGGTGGATAGACTTCTAAGCAGAGCATCACAAGAGTAAACTGAATTTTTCTCAATTTTCCTGAAAAAAAAAAAAAAAGACAAGTAAGGTGAGAGGTAATGGGCGGAGAAAAATCTCTACTCTAGGAGTGGGGGTAAGGGGTGAGGAGTGGTGTGTATGTTGGGTGTTACACTCTATGTGGAATATATAACTTTAGACATTTGTTCGCTTTGCTATCCTCTCTGCCTTTTATTACATTTTTTTCCTTCTCTCTACATGAGGGGCTAGAGCGATAACACAGCGGTAGGGCATTTGCCTTGCGTGCGGCCGGCTTGGCTGAGCTGGGTTCGATTCCTCCTCCCCTTTCGGAGAGCCCGGCAAGCTACCGAGAATATCTCGCCTGGACGGCGAAGTCTGGCAAGCTACCCATGACGTATTCGATATGCCAAACATATATATTGAATGGAGTTGTTACTGGGCCCATTCGAACAAATTGATGAACAACAGGACAGTGCAACAGTGCTACAGTGCTCTCTACGTGTAGAATATTTGTGAGAAGTCATGAATGGTAAGCTTAACAGTAATATTTTCTAAAATTCCTAGAAGATAAAGGAAATAAGAACAAACTGGAATTATACAGACATGAAGAAAAATCAATTAAGATGACTGTGAAGTGATACCAGGAAAGAATTGACAATGTGGCCCAGCACTGGGCACAATTGACTTGGGTTCAATACCTGACAGTGAAGAAAGAAAAGAGGGGAGATGAGATAGAGAGGGAGAGGGGAGAGAGAGAGAGAGAGAGAGACAGAGAGAGAGAGGAGTTTGAAGCAAGATGAAGCAAGAGTATAGCAGATAGGGCATTTGCCTTGCACATGATTGAACTGAGCTGGGTTCAATCCCCGGCATCTCAAACGGTCCTGCCAGCACTGCTTGGAGTTAATTCCTGAGGGCAGAGTCAGGAGAAACCCCTGAGCACAGCTGGTATGGACAGGAAGGAAGGAAGGAAGGAAGGAAGGAAGGAAGAGGGGACTGGAGCAATAGTGCAGCAGGTAGGGTATTTGCCTTGCATGCGGCTGACCCAGGTTCAATCTCTGTCACCCCATAAGGTTCCCTGAACACCATCAGAAATGATCTCTGAGAACAGAGCCAGGAGTAATCCTTGAACACAG